GGCATGTAGTAGAAGAGACTGCGTTGATGCAAATCGGATAAGTTTTTGACTTATTTACTGTAGTGCATTTTGAAACTTTGGTCAAATCTCACTTTGCTCCCTGAAAGTTAAAATGGCACACTTAACCCCTTTGACCATGGTTTTGTGTTCCAATTTGCCCCTGCTGTTACCTCCATTCATAACTCTGTCAATTTTGAAGATGTGGCAGGGCTATTTTCGTAATTTTCACCACAAATGATGATGTATCATGTACATGGCCCACTTTTTTTTTTTTTTTTGTGTGAAGTGAAATAACATATTAATAAAAATTAAAATAATATAATTAAATATTGTTCTTCGTCTCTCTCTCGACCTCTCCCCTTCTTCCTCTAGTTTCACCATCATACCACAACCACCACCCAACACAAAGCTACCCTCACCACCACCACTCCAACCCCACCGGAAAATCACCCACCTGCACCACAGTATAGTGCACCCATCTTCAACCTCGCAAAGACACATCATTGAAAATCAGCAACAGAAAAACCCTCTGAGTAATGCTTATGGGATTTCAACCTAAAGAATTTATCAATCGTCCATGTGAATATTACAGACAGAAGCTCCCCAACTTGCTCAGCCTCCGTTTTTGGTCTAACAACCCAAAAACAGTCAACAAAAGAAAAATCACAATATTATAACAATAATAAACACCAAAAATCACACAACATAGCCTAATTTAGAAAACCCATTAACTCAATCATATAGGGCAATGCATATGATGCTACAAACAACATTCTCTTATACTACACACTGAAATAAATGTGGACAAAATTACTCTGCTTATTTTCTGAAGCATTGCCCTGTTTTTGTTTTATGTTGGCATTGATTTTGAGTTTTGAAGAAAATGTTCGATGATGACGAAAAGCAAATGGGCGAACAAAATCTAATGCTATGTAGATTGTCTGCAACTTCCACTTGTGGAATGGCTTTGAGGATCTTTGAATTTTGTATAATTCTACTTGTAGGCCCATATCTAGGGCTTTCTTGGCCCAAGATGCAGAGGTCTCGAGCAAGCGAAGAATGGTGGGGATTTGAGTAGCGGCTGAGGTGTGGAGGCTGGGAGGGCTTGGGACATGATGCCATGATCGTGCTCCATGTCGACTACGACAAAGTCATAGCCAAAGAGGCCATCAATCTCAGCGAGGGTTAGGGAGAAGGAGATGAGGTAGTTGTGGCAGTGGAGGTGTGGTTGGAAAAGGTGGTTGATTTGATGGGTGCGGAGGTGGCGGTGAGGTTTAGGGTTTTGACTGGTGGCTGCTTTGGGTGGTAGTTGTGGTCTGATGGTGAAGTTAGGGGAAAGAGAGGGCGCAAAGAGAATGAGAGAGATGAAGAAGAAGATATTTTTTTAAATTAATTTTTTTTTAATTAAACAGTAATTACATTATTTTAATTTTTATTAATATATTATTTCACTTTAGCAAAAAGCAGATGAGGATTAATAGTAATTTTATTTTAGTTAACAGCTATTTTCTAATTTTTTTTAATTTCAAGTCCTCTCAATTGCATATACGTAAATGTGACTCCTATATTAAACATGCCTATATCACATGGGCTTACTCATTGACTCGTAACGTATAAATCCACTTGATGAAGCCCAAAATTAAAATAGTTCATTTATCATATTCTAATTATTAAATATTTTCTTGAGTTAAACCTAAATTTTCTTTAAAATTTAGGTTTACATTTCAAATTATTTTAAATAGTATAAAATAATTGTAATTAATAAAAAATCTCTCCCAATGGCAACACCACCACCCAATCCAATCCACCTTCTCTTGCCCAACCCAACCACCCTTCATCACCAATGGATCCCGAACTTCTACATTCAATTTTCATGCATTTATCCGCATTTCACAATATCTGAACCATTTTTATAATCTACCGTTTATTACATGACACATCAGCATTTATTTATTTTTATTTTTATTTTTATCAGAAAATTGTTTAAAAATTAACAATTATTTTATCATTAAAAAAAACTAAGTAAATAAAATTAAAAAACATGTCGTTGCCACCATAGGTGGGGGGAAGGGGCTATGACTTCTTTGGCAAAAGGGCTTAGGATGAGGCTGCTTCAATCTTCACATTCATTCATTGAGGATCCTTTTTCTCCCTAAGGCTGAGACAACAATTGGGTGGTGGGTTTTGTCCCTATTGCTTTGGGGCTCACTGGTGTAGCTAGGGGCGGACGCACGTTGGGACAAGAGGGGTCAAACGACCCCTTGGAAGGCTGGAAAGTTGGCAAGGGACTCCATGAAAGCCCCCTTAGACAGCTGCTGGAAGCCTCCTTGTATGCACACCAAGTGCTCGACGAAAGTCCCTTCCTCTGCTGCGCATTGCGCTTCTATGTTTTTTTTTTTTTTTAAAACGAGCCTTGCCAAACGACGTTGTTTGGTCCAAGGCTCAGTCAATTTTTTTAAATTGATCTGGCCTCAAAACAACGTCGTTTTGGGCCAAGTTTTTTTATAAATAAATAATAAAATAAATAAAAAAAAAAGGACTGAAGAGAGTTAACAGAGTTAAACTAGTGTTAAGTTGTTTGCCACATGTCATAAAATTAAGGAGGAAATAAGGGGCACAGGGGGATTTAGTAACAAGAAAATTGGACTCGTGGTAGGGGGAGGGGAAGTTGGAGTTGGAGTTTAATTGTTTTTAAAGGTTTAAATTTAGTGTTTAGTTTGTTTTTTAATGTTAATTTCTTAAACATTTTCAAAACATAAATTGTTTTACATTCAAATCCACTTGGTATATTATTATTGGACATGTGGGCTCCATATACATGTCACATCATCAATTTAACAGAAATTTCGACATAACCCAATGGCATGACCAAATTAATGTGGGAGGTAAAAAATAAAGAGTGCTGCTAAACGAACCCTAAAATTAACTGAGTACACCCTACTACAAAAGTATATATTGAATTACCGATTTACCCTAATATAAAATGACCAAAAAGGATATATGGAATTGTGAAACAATTATAATTTTAATAAGTACACCCTACTAACAATATTCAACCCTAATCAAGAGATTACTTGGTGCCCATCTTTGTGATCAGCAAGCCAGAATCGCTTGGAGCAGACAAAGCCAGAATCGACTAGTTCTGCATATTGATTGGAGAGCTTAAAAGGTAGCCTTGCTGTTTCTAAATTTTGAACTTTTGGCTGTTTACTGATTATTTATGAATAGGTTTCCCCCAACCGCTGCTACAGTGAGCTCTTCCCTACTCTTGGGTATTTGTAGCCTCCCTGACACCATATTTAGAGTAAGCGTTCAATCTTCCATTGGGGAAGAAATCTTTCGAAAAATAAATAAGAAATTACATGTGCTTTCCAATTCAATATTGGACTACATGTTGTGTTTTCTAATTAATTTTTCTTTGGTGTAGAATGCTGTGATATGGCATTGGCGGATTCAGAGTGTAATAAGCATGAAAACTCCGAATTGAGATTGTCATGCTTCAGTAACAAGGTTGGTTTTCTTGTATCTTGTCATTAGGAATACCCATGCCTTGTTAGATCGATCATATTGTTCAAAATTTAGTTATGGCATGTTGGTTTAGGCTAAAACATGTGTATTGAACAATGACGAATATGAGGGTTTTTTTTTACAACATCCAGAAGATGTATCTAAGCAAGACACCGACATCAATAAACAATGTGTTTTAGACTACGGAAACGAATTTATCACAAATGAGGTAAATTAATGAATATTTATATTGATCTGGCCTCAAAACAACGTCGTTTTGGGCCAAGTTTTTTTATAAATAAATAATAAAATAAATAAAAAACAACTAACAGCATCACTACTTACCCGAGCCCAACTCTGCACAGCTTCTCTCCAAACCTTTAGTCCCAATTTCACAGCTCTTCCAACCCTCTCAAACCCTAACCTCCCAACCTCCATCAACTCTTCGCCAGTGGCCCAGTGCCGATCACCACCACCTTGTGCCGCCATCCGCTGCCGACTCGTGAACAAGGGAAAACAAATGGCTTTGTGATTATCATTAAGAGGTCAGATATTGGAGGAGCTGGTAAATTCAAGACTGGTCGAATTCTATTTTGTTGTGAGAGGGGTGGCCAATTTAGGAAAAAAAAGGTTGTGGAATTAGATAGCATGACAACACACATTCAACTACAAGTAAGCATGGCAAAATTTATATTAATAAATTTATAGTGATAATATATTTTGGAACTTTTACACTAAGCCCCTTTGGGCACATAATCCTGGATCCGCCACTGGGTGTAGCCGTAGTTGGCTGCCTCTCTCGCTCTCCCTTGATTTGGGATTACTGACACTCAACAAGGCCTAGAAAGAGATTTTATGAAATCCGGATCTTTTTAACAGAATACTGCAATTAAATATGCAAATTCATAACTGAAAATTAATTGGCCACAAATACTGCATATGAAAATCTTATGAGTGCTGCTAAACGAACCCTAAAATTAACTGAGTACACCCTACTACAAAAGTATATATTGAATTACCGATTTACCCTAATATAAAATGACCAAAAAGGATATATGGAATTGTGAAACAATTATAATTTTAATAAGTACACCCTACTAACAATATTCAACCCTAATCAAGAGATTACTTGGTGCCCATCTTTGTGATCAGCAAGCCATAATCGCTTGGAGCAGTCAAAGCCAGAATCGACCAATTTTGCATATTGATTGGAGAGCTTAAAAGGTAGCCTTGCTGTTTCTAAATTTTGAACTTTTGGCTGTTTACTGATTATTTATGAATAGGTTTCCCCCAACCGCTGCTACAGTGAGCTCTTCCCTACTCTTGGGTATTTGTAGCCTCCCTGACACCATATTTAGAGTAAGCGTTCAATCTTCCATTGGGGAAGAAATCTTTCGAAAAATAAATAAGAAATTACATGTGCTTTCCAATTCAATATTGGACTACATGTTGTGTTTTCTAATTAATTTTTCTTTGGTGTAGAATGCTGTGATATGGCATTGGCGGATTCAGAGTGTAATAAGCATGAAAACTCCGAATTGAGATTGTCATGCTTCAGTAACAAGGTTGGTTTTCTTGTATCTTGTCATTAGGAATACCCATGCCTTGTTAGATCGATCATATTGTTCAAAATTTAGTTATGGCATGTTGGTTTAGGCTAAAACATGTGTATTACTACGGAAACGAATTTATCACAAATGAGGTAAATTAATGAATATTTATAAATTTATTTTATAATTGTGTACATTAATTTAATTATTAGTGATTTTACAGATATTTAAAAGTCGCGATGCATTAATAAGATGGACTCGTGAACAAGGGAAAACGAATGGCTTTGTGATTATCATTAAGAGGTCAGATATTGGAGGAGCTGGTAAATTCAAGACTGGTCGAATTCTATTTTGTTGTGAGAGGGGTGGCCAATTTAGGAAAAAAAAGGTTGTGGAATTAGATAGCATGACAACACACAAGCTTGATCAAAGTTCAAACCCTTTGAAGAAAAAAAGTGTGAAGTCTACTGGTACGAAGAAGTGTGGTTGCCCCTTTTCATTGAAAGGTGTGAACTGTGGTCCTGGAGATGCATGGCAACTTGAGGTTGTATGTGGAGTTCATAACCATCCTGCAGCACTAAATATGGAAGGCCATTCATATGCAGGGAGATTAATTGTGGAAGAGAATTTACTAGTGGTTGACATGTCTAAGAGTTTGGCTAGGCCAAAGGATATATTATATACTCTTAAACGTAGAGATAGGTTGAATGTGACCACAATGAAGACAATCTACAATGCCAGACAAAAAAGTAGGGTGATTGAGAAAGTAGGTATGTCAGAGATGCAGGTATTGCTACAAAAGTTGTTTGCCCATGAGTATGCAGAGTGGCATAGAAGCTATGGTACCGCTAATATTATAAGTGATTTGTTTTATGCTCACCCTACAAGTATTAAGCTACTGCGCGCATTTCCTCATATTTTGATCATGGATTGCACATATAAGACAAATAGGTTTTGCTATCCACTTTTGGAGATTGTGGGGGTGACGTCTACACATCTTACATTCTCAATTGCATTTGTTTATCTTAGTGCCGAGAAAGAAGACAACTACATATGGGCATTGGCTAGATTGAGGAGTGTTATGGATGATAATTCGATTCCTAGTGTTATTGTCACAGATAGAGAGTTAGCTCTCATGAATGCACTCCATAAAGTCTTTCCAAGTGTTCGACATTTATTATGTACATGGCATATTAATAAAGGAGTCTTAGGAAAGTGCAAAAATGTATTTGAAGACAAAGCTAGTTCAGACAAATTTTTAATTTCATGGAATATGCTTGTTTCATCAAATACAGAAGCCGAGTATGAAAGACATCTACTGGCCTTACAAACCAACTTCAAATATCACAATTCTATCATCAACTATGTGAAAGAGACGTGGTTGATTCCTTATAAAGAAAGATTTGTTGCTGCTTGGACGAACACATGTATGCATTTTGGGAATACAACATCAAATAGGTATTTATTATTGATTTTCAATTAATATTTATATAGCATACAATATATATTACTTCACATGAAACATGTTGCTACAATATACAGGGCGGAGACTGCACATGCAAAGTTGAAGAAACAACTTGGTAATAGCATGTGTACGTTTGGAACATCATGGGACAAAATTCTTCCTTTAATAGAATTGCAACACACTGAGATAAAGGCATCATTTGAGAAGAGTCTGTCATTTGTGCAACATGACTGCAGGAAAGAAGACTTCAAGGAGTTGATTGGTTTTGTATCTATTTCTGCATTGGATAATATTATGGTTGAGCTAAAGCGGTTAGATTATATTGGGGTTGATCTTATATCATGTGGTTGCATAATAAAACACACACATGGATTACCATGTGCACATGAGATGCAAGAGTTCAAACGGACTCATAGGCCCATTCCACTTGACTGTATTCATCCTCGTTGGAGAAAGTTAGATTTTTTGGAGCCCCGACCTACTACTACACCGAACAATCCTCCAGAAAATGCACAGTTAGAATTATTTGTGAAGTGGTTTCAAAGTTGTAATTCTAAGACAAAGAGACATATTAGCATGAAGTTACAAGAGATTATGAATCCCGCATCTACCACACTTACACAACCCCAGTTGAAGATTAAAATAAAAGGTCGTCCAAAAGTTGACACATCTACTCGACGTTTGCCTTCTGCTTTTGAGGTTGTTACAACACCGCCATGTAAGAAACACTCGACTGACAAATTTGTTACAAGACCGCCACGTAAGAAGCCAAAAACCATACCCCAAAAGCGATCAGTATTCAATAGTTAGACACAACCATTGCCATATGTGAATCCAAAGAAGCGGCCTTCGAAGCTACCTGTAAGTAGTTACAATATTAAATTTGTATACTGTCATTTATATTGTAATTTGGGTGTAATTGTAATATGCAGGTCTATAGGCCTAAACCCAGTGTAGATGACTCTTGCTTAACACCAGAGTTTAACAAGTGGTTTCCTAAACATATGTTGATACATATTAGAGGGGCACAAGATGTTAAGAGTGATGGTAATTGTGGTTTTAGAGCCATTGGATCATTGATGGGGTTTGGTGACAATGCTTGGCGCAAAGTACGCAGGGACTTGTTGAAGGAGTTGAGGAAAGAATCTATCATATACGAGTTAATATTAAATGGTAAGGAACGGGTACAACATATTGAGTATATGCTGGACTATTTTGAGGACTTCCCACTTCAAGATAGATGGATGACTATACCAGTTATGGGACACCTCATTGCATCTTGTTATAATGTAATCCTCATGACTTGGTCAGTGCATCAGTCACTTACATTTTTTCCATACGAGACTGCTCCATTGGATTCTATCTATCGCCGTGAGATTTCAATTGGATTTGTTAACCACAATCACTGGATTAAGGTAAAACAATTAAGATGTTTATATATATATATATATATTTGCTTACTATTCTTTTCACATAATTGGTTTTATTTAATTTTTCTGCTTTTACAGGTTTATTTGGAAAGTCAACACCCTATGCCACCAGTTGATCAGCGTTGGTTGAGATGTGCAACCATAACTGCATCAGATTGGATTACGCCATATCAGGATCGTATACGTCAATTTAGATATGAAGCTGGCGTAGCGGACCCTTATGATAATGACCCTATATTTATTGAGTAGTTTTGTAAAGCATCATATTGGTGACCTTAATTATTATTTGCATTTTCATTATACCATTAACAGTTCTTGTTTTGTAACATAAATATAATAATTATGATGGCTTTTTGCTCATTTGGCTTCTACCAGCACAAAAAATGTTATGAGATACTTTGTGGTTGATTCCCCATTTGTCCTATTGTGTTTTTAACGAAAGAGGTGATTGCAAGAACTTGGAATTGCAAAAAAGTGTTAATAGTTTTAGTAGAAGCATAAATCCATATGAAAAGTGAAAGATTTATAAATACTATTAAAAAAATAAAGCTCAAAATCAACTATAAAATAATGCTATAAGTATTAGAGTCTACCATGGGTATTTTTGGTAGTTCCATAGGGTGTACTTAGTTAATTTTACATTTTCATTAAAATATCAGGGTGTACTTAGATCGTAGGGTATTTTTGGTAGTTCCATAGGGTGTACTTAGTTAATTTTACATTTTGATTAAAATATTAGGGTGTACTTAGATCGTAGGGTGTACTCAGTTAATTTATAGGGTGTACTTAGTTAATTTTACATTTTCATTAAAATATCAGGGTGTACTTAGATCGTAGGGTATTTTTGGTAGTTCCATAGGGTGTACTTAGTTAATTTTACATTTTCATTAAAATATCAGGGTGTACTTAGATCGTAGGGTATTTTTGGTAGTTCCATAGGGTGTACTTAGTTAATTTTACATTTTCATTAAAATATCAGGGTGTACTTAGATCGTAGGGTATTTTTGGTAGTTCCATAGGGTGTACTTAGTTAATTTTACATTTTCATTAAAATATCAGGGTGTACTTAGATCGTAGGGTATTTTTGGTAGTTCCATAGGGTGTACTTAGTTAATTTTACATTTTCATTAAAATATCAGGGTGTACTTAGATCGTAGGGTATTTTTGGTAGTTCCATAGGGTGTACTTAGTTAATTTTACATTTTCATTAAAATATCAGGGTGTACTTAGATCGTAGGGTATTTTTGGTAGTTCCATAGGGTGTACTTAGTTAATTTTACATTTTCATTAAAATATCAGGGTGTACTTAGATCGTAGGGTATTTTTGGTAGTTCCATAGGGTGTACTTAGTTAATTTTACATTTTCATTAAAATATTAGGGTGTACTTAGATCGTAGGGTGTACTCAGTTAATTTTAGGGTTCGTTTAGCAGCACTCAAAATAAATGACCAATAATGTCAACAACAACAAAAAAACATAAGGGACTAATTTTTTTTTAATCTATTGCTTATTCCATTAATTTATATGATAATAGAGATTCTACATGTATGCATCATGCTTCAACCTCTAGAAATATTTAAATTATGTTTGATGCCTCATTATCATGTTTTTTTTGTCTCTTATTATTAGGCTCGCTCTTATTAGGAACACAATGAACTACATATTGGTCTATAATTGGTGCAACTGTGTTAATTCAACACTCAATACATGAATGGTTTCTAGTCTTGCAAAACCTATAACAAGAGCATATACATCAATGAGTCGGAAAAAATTGCAAGGAAAAATAAACTTATCTGACTTGAATTAATGGTGTTGTGTTTGCAGTTATGAGTCGGAAAGATCTAGCTTGGAAGCATGCAGAAGAAATAGAAGCGGAAAATACTTATGATGCTCATTTCTAGATTATCATCATTTGGCTCGTTGTCATCATGGTATACAACGTCGTAATAAAGAAAAAATGAATTGCTTAGAAGGATCGGAGAAGGTTCAAGAGGAGAGAGTCAGAGTTTGGAATCTCTTGCAAAGCTCAAGTAACTTTGACCCAGTGTAAGGGCTTTAACGAATTTGTCCTCGGGGCATTAGCAGCACCAGGGCCACGACCTTCTCCAAGACTTGTCGGCCCAGAAGAAGCTCTGCCCCTTCCAATGGCTGGTGGTGCATTAGATCCCTTTGCTCCAGGTGGTGGAGGAGGTGGTGCTGGTGGTGGAGGCGGCGGGTGATGGCCTAGTATTATTACCAAGGCTACCACTCATAGGAGGAGGTGGAGGAGGTGGTGGTCCACGACCAAAACTGTAACTGGATGGTGGAGGAGGTGGAGGAGGTGGAGGAGGCGGTGGTCCACGACCGGAATTAGAAATGGATGGTAGAGGAGGAGGAGGTGGTTGTAGCTTGTTAGTTGCAGGAAGAGGAGGAGGTGGCTGTTGCGGTGGCTGTGCTGTTATTGATTGTACCTTGTTGGGTGCACTTCCCAAAAACGGAGGAAGTGGAGGTGGGGGTGGCGGCAAAGACTCTTGACTAGATTTAGGAGGAGGTCGTGGTGGTGAGGGAGGACGTAGTGGTGGACCTTTGCTAGAGACACAACGAGGTGGTGGTACTGGTGGACCTCTGCTAGTACTGGAAGGGAGGGGG